GTTTTTATTTTACCATATGTTATTATGATTTTAATAATCAACCATTGATGGGATATTTTAATCAAATTGTTGAAACTATACTTTGTTGATAAATTTAGAATTCATTTATTTTTTTATATGGAAAACGGTTAGAACTACCATTATCTAAAATATACAGTCAGTTAACAATTAACTTAAATATTGAATAACTTAATAATTATTTACAATATCTTAAAAATGCAAATAATCATTTTCAGTGTTTATTTTTATAATTTCAGAATGACTTCTCCTTTGCCTTTGCTATTATATATTGAAAGAGCAGAACCAACGGACACAAGTACTGTTCTCACAGTGACCGCATTGTCTCAGACAAATGTGTTGATTGGCAATGTCCAAGATTTCTTAGTTAGAGGAGACTTTATGTTCGCCACCAGGAAAAACAACAAGGTACAATATAAAATCAAACTAACACTTCAAACCAATGTTTAGAACTTAACATAATACTTTTTTTTTCAGAACAATCTAGAACTATTGATTTCATATCGAAGAGCACCTTTCGTAGTAGCTCATTTTTCATCGGAATTGAGTTTTCTTGCCATCCATGTGGCTGATGTGACAGATAGAAGACTGATGGTAGTGGGTGTTCATGGTGACACTGTAGCTCATCTCTATGTTTCTGAGAGCAATGAAGATTTCTCTAGAATTAATTTTGTTTTAAGCTTAGAAGGCATTTTGTGCCATGTTCCAAATAGTACGTGGACTGACACCTGGCTGAGGTAAGATAATTAAATAAATTTACAAATCTCTATATAAGAACAACAGATTATAGTATAAAGTTTATGTTTTTTTGCAAAAAATATTATTCTATAGGTGTATGTACATGTATATAGATATAACACATTTCATAAGCGGATATGAAGAAATTAAAGTGTTGCTAGAATTTTACATATTGTCCATTTAGGATACATACAAAAAACTTTAATTGTTCAGTCATGTTCTGTTTTTTTACAAGAAAGATATATCTACTTATATCAACAATTTTAATTTATGTCTTCATTTCCAGTGATATAGCAGAAGAATCATTTGCTGACTTATATCGTGTCGAGGGTCTCCTTGGAGTCTACATTGCATCTCGCGTTCTTTCTACTTCTACATTCAATAACAATGCCACCAGTAGAGGCAGAACTCAACCAGTTATATCACCAGAACATTTATCCAGTGTGATAACCTTCGATCATGGTGCTACTTGGCGACCGATTTCTCCACCACGACGAGATGACGATGGACATCCAATCAAGTGCGATACCAACCTGGGATGTTCGTTGCATTTGACACAGAAATTTAGTCAGCTGTATCCTGTTACTAGATCGGTGAGTTAAATACAAATTTAACAAATTACATAAAGAAATATTGATATATTTTTTATTTCAAGGGTTTTCTGTAGAATTACCTTTTTTTTATAGAGGCACTATGCACTAACTTGTTTCTATTTCTATTTATCTATTACAGGTTACAATACTCAGTTCCAAGTCCGCACCCGGCATCATCCTCGCCGCTGGTGTTATCGGACGCTCTTTAAAAGGTCATCCTGTGTATTTTTAAGTCGAGATGGCGGCCTTACATGGAAGCAAATTCTGAAAGACTATTATTTCTTCAATTTTGGTGACCACGGTGGCGTTTTAGTCGCCGTAAAATATTTTAAGACGAGAGGCGAAACGAAACGTCTTTTATATTCTACTGATGAAGGTGATACTTGGAAGAGTGTCGATTTCCATTCAAAGGATTTGAGAATTTACGGTTTGATGACGGAACCAGGGGAGAATACTACTGTTTTCACTATGTTTGGTTCAAGCCCTGGTCTACATCAATGGCAAATTATAAAGGTAATAAAATCCTAGTCAAAATACATACTTTGATCATATTTAACATAAAAACGTACATGACGAAATTGACATTATATATTTCAATATTATCTCTTTCTTCTTAGGTTGATTTGGCAGCCGCTTTCGACCGTATGTGCACGCCGGAAGATTACAAATTTTGGGCTCCAGGAGGTCTTTCTGGTGTCTCAGAAATGGCATGTTCTATGGGATCCAAAGATACTTATCAACGAAGGATCCCAAGGGCTAATTGCTATAATGGCAAAGATTACTCTAGGCCAGTTAATAAAGAAGTTTGCGAATGCGGAGCTCACGATTTTGAATGTTCTCCAGGTACTAATCATTCATTTGTGAAATACCTATTTTGTTTTTTGCATATCTATTAATTGCTCAAATTTTGTTTTAGGCTTTACTCGTAGTAGCCAACCATTCCACTGCATAAAAAAACCTGAACTATCAGAGGATCCGTTCGCTGTTCCCGCCACTTGCAGACCTGGACAATTTTATAAAAGGACTAAAGGTAAGAAACTAAAAAAAAAAATTATTAATTAGCACTCATAATAAATTAGAAATCTCACAGTGCTTGATTTGCATATAACATTATTTTCTTTCTTCTATTAGGTTATAAAAAGATTGATGGAGATGTCTGCTTGGGCGGATATGAGTACCTCTATGAACCAGCCACAATACCGTGTCCATTTGCTCCAACAAGAGAATTTTTAGTTATGGCTCAACGAGAGAAAATAATTCGCATAGACTTATCTGCACCAACTAATGGCACTGTATTAAAGACAGGAATTGAAGTTTTCCCTGTAGATGGTTTGAAGAATGTCATAGCAATTGAGTATGATATGAAGAATGATTGTGTTTATTGGGCCGATATTGTCAATGATACAATTGGCAGACAGTGTTTGAGAAACGGAACTGAGGAGAGGGAAATTTTGGTGGAGACTGATTTAGCTAGTGTAGAAGGTTGGTATTTTTAAATTTTTAAAATTCAAATTATTTTATGAACATATTTCTATCATATTCTTTCATATGTATGCCATAGGAATGTCATTGGATTGGATATCTCGATTATTATACTTTGTTGATGGAATGAGACAAAAGATTGAAGCAATACATATTGATACAAATGCTTTTGGACGATTCCGGAGAACTATTTTGGATTCAAAGGTTCTTACAAAACCTAGAGGTAGATTACTTTCACATTTTTATTTGCTTTATTTTAATAGTTTTGTTGTATAAGTGCTACTGTGTCTTTTATGTTATAATTATTATAATATTTGTTTAATTTAATATTTTTCTTATTGTTTTACTAATTGTAGGTATTGTTGTACATCCTGTGGCTGGCTATATGTTCTTTACTGATTGGGAACCAGTTTCTCCATCTATATCAAGAGCGAATCTTGATGGAACCGAAGTAACTCGGTTGTTTACTGCACCTGTTGTTAGTTGGCCCAATGGAATTACAGTAGATCATATTGGTATGCATAAAATCCTGTTAAAATAAAACTACTTAATAGTTAAATAATATTAAAACAAGAAAGTTTAATTTTTACATTTAGTAACATTAATTGTTTCTTCATGTTTGGGATTTGCAGTTCCATAGAAAGTAAAAATATAATGGAAACTCAGTTTTGAGAAATTTATTAAATTTAATTTTGCTGCCACCATGTATTAAACTTCTATATATGACAATATATATTGTAATTTGATCAACATGATATTAAAATTATCTATTAAATGGTGGTCTATTTGGATTGCATAGATATGAATAAACTACTGTATGCATTACAGTTTAATATTATCTTTTATATTTTTATCAGCTGAACGTATATATTGGGTGGATGCCCAAGAAGACTATATTGCCAGTAGTGATTTGCATGGAAAACATTTTGAAAAAATTATGTCTGAAGAAGAACGAGTTACTCATCCATTTGCTGTAGCTGTTTTCAAACACACCATGTATTGGGATGATTGGAAAACCAGTGCTGTGTACAGTGCAGACAAAGATCATGGATTACAGGTAAACATATTAATTACTGTAAGCTTTATTATTAAGGCAAAAAAGTGTGATAAATTTGAGAAACTGCTGCACATCCAATTTAAAGTTGTGATCACAATCATTTTTATGTAATTTTATTTTTCAGGTCCAAACAATTGCTAGAGATCTTCCTGGACTCATGGATCTGAAAATCTATGCCCACTCAATACAAGAAGGTACAAGTGCTTGCTCTCCCATGAGTAATGAGACAAAACCGAAATGCCCCTATACTTGTGTTAGCATGCCTAAAGGGCAATATAAGTGTTTGTGTCCTGATGGAATGGATGATATAGGAGGTAATTTAAATTTGAATTTTTATTATAAATGAGAGATAAATATAATATAACAGATTAATCTAAATGAAGAATTTTATTTAGAAGATCTTAAGATGTACAGATATTTTAATAATAATTACATTTTGAGAAGATTTTGGTTTTGAAGAACACATAAGTACAAATTTATGTTTCAAGAGTCTTCTTGAGTTTTTAGTAGATTATCTATTATAATCACCTATTTTCTCTTCACATGCTTATTAAAACATATTTATTTATTTTATTTATTTATTTATTTATTTAAATATATAGCCCACAGATTTCTCTAAGAGGACTCAAAAATACAATTATTTTACATAATGAATAACAATTAAAATATATACAAAATTACAATATATAGTTAGTAACATAAAATGCTAAGATAAAATTACATATAATGCAGAATGTAACAATAATATTTATAAACAGAATAAGAAAATAATGAGATATTTGAAAGAAAATAAAAAGATTAACTTGTGCAGATGGAGATTATAACATATATCTATAATATACATTTATTTATCAATTTATCATATTGAGCTTTCTTGTGACATTATTTACCTGATAGTAATCTGTTGTCTATTTGTTTTAGGAAAATGTTTGTGTCCTGGAGGATCTGCACCTTTTGCTAATAACACATGTCCACAGCAAGCAAATACCTGCCGACCAGACCACTTTACTTGTTCGAATGGTGTATGCATACCTCTTTCACTTAGATGTGATGGCGGACAAGACTGCGGGGATGGAAGTGATGAATTAAATTGCGGTAAGAATTTATTAATTCATAGGTAATTTAAGTTTTTTATTTATTTATTTATTTATTTATTTATTTATTTATTTATTTATTTTACAAGCCGTCAGTTTATTTAATATTATAATAAGGCTTAAGTCATTATTTTATAGGTTTAATATAATTTAATTAATTATTAGCTATTTTATTACTTAATTTATTTACTGTAAACTTATTTATATTTAGTTAATTATAATTATTTTTAAATATAACTACTTTGTTTGTTGCAAGTGTTTTTAAAAATTTAATAAGTATTTTAATAAGCTTTACAATACTTTTACAATATTAACAAATTTTAGGTTATTTTATGATATTTTAACAAATTTAAGTGTCTTATATTATTGTAATTATTATTATTATTAATAATAATAATATTATCATTATCATTTTTATTATTATTGTTAAATATTTTTACAATTTTTTTTTCTTTTACAAATTTTTTGGTATTTTGATGAAGGAAATATTTTGTTTTACAATTTTTAAGTGTTTTTAAAATATAAGTTTTTGGTTAACTAATTATTAAGTATTTTAACAATAACAGTCATATGAAAATAATAATTAGAAGAAATATATATATAATATATATATATATATATATATATATATATAATACTGATTGGCACGGTTTTACCTTTATATTAAGGAAATTTCTAATATTGCTATGTAGTTGGCAAATCATCATGAGGGTTGACTGTGTTAAGTATTATATTATTATTTAGTAAACATTATTTTTATTACAGCCTTGGCAAGCAATGCAAGTGGTTGTGGTGTGAACATGTTCCGTTGCCAGGATGGAGGTTGTGTACCACGACATTGGCGCTGCGACTCTGATCGTGATTGCAAAGATGGTAGCGATGAAGCTAATTGCCAATATGCTGAATGCTCTGCTGGTGAATTTAGATGTGGAAATGGAAGGTTAAAATTATTTATTTTTTGCTTATATTTACAATGTAGCAAAGAGTTGATTTTAACATAGGTTAAAGATATTTTTTTCTGACATATTTCTTTTATAAATACTTCAACAATATAAATTGTGAATAACTTTAATATAATATCCTTGTTTTGATTAAACATTACAAAATATTTTGATCATTAATAATAACATTAAATGTAGATCTTTAGAACAACACATTGAATAATATTGAATGTGTGTCCTTGGTCTTTTTTTTTCTTTTGTTTGTATTTTTTTTAAATTACTACCTTTATAAGCAAGTATTATTAGTCATATGCATAATTTTTATCTTTATATTTTTTTTTATTACTTAACTACGTTATATATTAGAACTATTTTAGGTTTGATTGACAAAAATAAATAGTAAAAGTATAGTTATAGTAAAACTTGTTTTTAACTTTTTTCCAACAGTTCCTTAAGCATGCCATTGTTTTAATACAGATGGTTTCTATGTTATTAAAACATAATATTTTTCAAGGTGCATCTCTTCAAAATGGAAATGTGATGGTGAAGATGATTGTCGTGATGGAACAGATGAGAAAGATTGCCCATCTCGTGCTAATGTCACATGCAAAGCAGACGAATTCAGGTAATTTTTGAATTACTTTTATGGTTTGTTTTTACTATTTCATTAATTACTTCGAATTGGTTTTTAACTTATGTTGATGTGAATTCAGAAATTATTTTAGGCTCATATTTCTTTCTACATTACGGTTATTGTAGATACATTTTATTATGAATTGAACAAATAATTTAATCTTAATCAATTAAGTCAAAGTTGAAAATGTACAAAATTTTATATATTGGATGCTAGTAGAGTAAATGACTAGATTTAGATTTAGTAGGATTAGATTTGTTACAGTTACAAAAACTACAATAATATAAAACCAAAACGTTCAGGCAAATAATAAGATTAGTTATATAATGATATCTACAATATAATGATTCAGAGTTAAAATTGATTAATATCTTGATATGCTTTTGCTAGTAAGATATCTTGCATGAAATGTTTAAATCTCTAATCTGGAAAAGGGTGTTTATAAGTTGCTTTTATTATATTTGGTGCTACACTATGATAAATGTAGTAAAGTGTCTGTTGGTATGTTTTCATTTTCTATTATCATATTTTTTTATTTTCAACAGATGCAATTCAACCAACACTTGCATACCTAACTCTTGGCGATGTGATGCTGATACTGATTGCCCTGATGCTTCTGATGAAAAAGGTTGTGCCAATATTACTATCACAAACAATGGTACTTGTGAAGAATGGCAATTCACCTGCGCCGATGGACTTTGTGTTTATGCAACATTCAGATGTGACGGAGCTCCTGATTGCAGGGTAAAATATAATATTTATTTTCCTGCTCTTTATAAATTTTTAATTGTAACTGTAACATTTGGATGATAAAACACTATATTGTATTTTTTTTTTTTTTGCAGGATGGAAGTGATGAAGTAAATTGCACCACGATTTTGCCAGCCTTGGGACCAACTTATACAGAAAAGCCACGTCCAAGTTTCCAGTCCCAAGAAAATTGCGTCGATTGGATGTTCAAGTGTGCAGAAGAAAGAAAGTGCATTCCATACTGGTGGAAATGCGATGGGGTTAACGATTGCGCTGATGCATCTGACGAACGGGGCTGCGGAGGTAAATTTATAATTGAAATATAAAAAGGCAATTTTATATACTGTAAAATATATTTAGTTGTTGCCTAATTGTTAGTTTGACACCAGACTTAATGCATTAACAATACAAGATTATAAAATATTTTATGCTAATATCATTTAACTTATTTTTTATGCTTATTGATGAATTCAATTTTAATACTTCATTTTTTTTTTCTTTATAGACCGAACAGGAATATCATCAACTTTCAGGCCACAGACCACATCTTCTACATCTAATAGGACAGGTCCATCAACTACTAGTAGATGTGTTGACCGTGAATTCAAATGTGATTCTGGTGAATGCATACCCCAGTCTTACGTTTGTGATGGTTATCAAGATTGCAGGTAAAATGAATTTCTATTTCTATTTATATTTTTACATTTGTGCACTATTCAATAACAATATAAATATTATTAGGAGTGGTGATGATGAATTAAGATGCCTTGTGTCTTCAAATAATCTGAGTGGTTGTAGTTTATCAAGTTCTTCAGAAGAATCTAGTGAGGATGGTTCTCATCACAAGGAAACTAAAGGTTTTAGATGTAGAATGGATGGCACTTGCATTCCCAAAGAAGTTGTTTGCGATGGTCACGTTGATTGTCCAGATTCCAGTGATGAACTTGGCTGCTTAAGCCATAATAAAACCGAGCATACAAGTCAAGGTAAGATATTTAACTAATATGATTTTTAAAATATTAAAAATTGGTGATATTATTCGTCGGCGCGAAAAATCTAGAAAATTAAGTTTTATTATTGTTGCAGAAAAACAACCAACTTTGTGTTCACGTGGCTATTTTGCTTGTGCTACTGGTGAATGCTTGGCACAGACCAAATTCTGTGATGGCAAGCAGGATTGCTATGATGGATCTGATGAATCTAATTGTGAAGGAAGAAAACGAGTATACCAGGTAAAATTTACCTAACTATTTATATGATTTACTTCTGTATCTTTATTTATTTATTTATTAATTTTACAAGCCGTCAGTATAATAATATTATAATAAGGCTTAAGTCAATGTTTTATAGGTTTATTATAATATAATTAATTATTAGCTATTTTATTATTTATTTATTATTTAATTTATTTACTATAAACTTATTTATATTTAGTTCATTTTAATTATTTATAAATATAACTAGTTTGTTTGTTGCAAGTATTTTTTTAAAAAATTTAATAAGTATTTCGAAGTATATGACATATTAGTCATATTATTATTATATCACTATCATTTTCATTATTTTTGTTAAATATTTTTACAATATAAGTTTTTTTTTTTACAAATTTTTAGGTATTTTGATGAAAGAAGTATTTTTTTTTCACAATTTTTTAAGTGTTTGTAAAATATAAGTTTTTAGTTAACTAATTATTAAGCATTTTAACAATAACAGTCGTATAAAAAAAAATTAAAATTTTGTTTCACAATTTTAGGTGTTTTAAATTATAAGTTTTTAGTTAACTAATTATTAAGTATTTTAACAATAACAATCATATGAAGATAATAATTAGAAAAAAAAAAAGTCAATATTTTGTATCTCAATTTTTTAGTGTTTTTTTTTTTAATTATAAGTTTTAAATTAACTAATGTAAAGTATTAAAAGTATTTTAACAATAATAATCATATAAAATTAAAAAAAAATTTTTAGCTATCTTTTGCTAGCTAAAGTTAGCTGTATCTTCCTAATTTGTATAAATATTAATTTTGTTTCAGATTCTCCTTATGGGCGTCGAAGATCGCAGCATTAACTCATCCAGCTTGCTCCTCTACTGGTCTTTACCCAGAAATACAAAAGATGTAAAACTCGAATTCTTACCCTCCATTACCCCCATCTCCAGCAATCAAGAAACATGGACAAACCACACCAGTTGGCTTGAGCAATCTGAACACCGATTTTTGAATCTCAAACCATACACTAATTATAACATGACAGTTTATGTCAGAGTAAAGAAAGTCGACAAAAGTGATAAGAAAGGTGATTCAAATGGTGTAGAAGTTGCGCCTATCAAATTTGTCAATGCCACTACATCAGAAGGCATTCCTGATAGCCCAACTAATGTGAAATTACTTCAACAAAATGGATCAAATATTCAAGTCACTTGGGAAGAGTCTAAGAATGTAAATGGCATATTGAGAGGTTATACACTATTTGTGTCACCTCCTACACCACCAAGACAGGTCAGTTAATAATTTAATTGTATCATATTCAGATTTTGCATTTCTATATAATTATTATATATATTTTAGTATCAAATACCTGCTCAAACAACATCTTACACTGTTAGAGGTGATTTCAAACCAGCAATGAAATATACATTCTGGCTTGTAGCTCGTAACACATTAGCTTTATCAGAAAACTCTAATACTTCTGAAATTGTTTTTGATGGGGATTCAGTGTTTAGTGATCGCATCAGAGGATTACATGTTGTTAACGTTGCTGGTGATAAAGATAGAGGTATGTTATAATAGTGTTTCATTTCACAGTCCTGAGTAATAGGGCAGTTTAGAAATTAATTCAAATTTAATTTTAATCTTTAATGTTAATATCTTTTATAGGAGTATCGAGCATATCACTGTCTTGGGACCCTGTGAAAAATGTTGATGGCTACAGTGTGCAAAGAATTTTACCTCTTCCATATCCAAAATTGGAACCTGTATTTGTTAAGAAGAACGAAATTGTCATCAAAAACGCTAGTCCTGGAGTTGAACACGCCATTTCAGTATGTCATCTATTTATATAAAGAAAATTCATAAAATTTATTATAATTTATAAGCTTATTAACTTCCCGAAGGAGAAAAAAAATCAAAATTCATCAAAAAATCCGATTCTCTAATTTCATGTTTTCTCGACGTTTCAAGCCATTCTGAATCGAATGAGACCAAATTTGGTAAAAGTATATGTGTGTGTGTGTGTGAACAGATTTTTTGCCGTAAATCGACGTTTTCTCGAAAACGGCTGGGCCGATTTCAAAAATTTAAAAGCCATTTGATGCACCTCGACGAGAACTATTGTTTGTCAGTTTTGTGCGAAGATCGACCAAGCCGTTTCTTTATAAATCGCAGAAAAGTGAACAATTTTTCGTCTACGTTTTAGCCCGCAATTCTGAATCGATTTTGAAAATTCAAAAACCGTTCGAAAGATATTGGTTGGGAATCATGCTGATTAGTTTTTGGTAGAGATCGGCCGGGCCGTTTTCTTGTAATAAAGTTTAAAAAAAAAAAAAATTCGACGATTATTATGATTATTTTTTTGACGGTAGATACCATAGTCTTCTAGATCATACTAAAATATTACGGCCCTACGACAACTGGTTCAGCTTTAAAAATTCGTCAAAGTTAGCAAAAATTGGTATTGTTTTTTGGCATTTGTCAAAATTAGACTTTTGATCGGCGTTTTCTCAAAAACGCCTGAACCGATTTTAAAAATTTAAAGCCGTTTCTTTGCAATTTGAAAAAAAGTGTTAAACTTTTCGTACACATTTAAGCTCATCCTACCGAACCGATTTTAAAAAATCAAAAACTGTTCGAAAGAAATGAGTTGGGAATGGTACTGATTAGTTTTAGGTGAAAATCTACCGAGCCGTTTTCTTGTAATTACCTGTTGAAAAAAAATTTAAGCCGATTTTCATGAAATTTTTTTTGACTATATACATCATGGTCTTATAGAACTTACTGTAATATTGCGGCCTTACGACTAGTAGTTTAATTTTAAAATTTTGTCAAACTTTGCTAAAATTATTATCGTTTTTTTTAAAGTAGGATTAATGAAGTATATTATTAACTTCCCGTAGGGTAAGTTATTGTAATGGGCCGAAAATCGGAATTGAAAATTTTTACATTTCTCGACGTTTTGAAGGTTTCTGAACGTTTTGGCATACCTCAGAAAAAATGGATGTGTGTGTGTGTGTGTGTGTGTGTGTGTGTGTATGTATGTGTGGATACAAATTTCCCGTCACGTTTTAGGGCGCACGGATCAACCGATTTGAATGGTTCAAAAAACATTCGATTCCTATTGATTGGGAAAAGAGCTGATTAGTTTTTGGCAAAGGCAGGTCCAGCCGTTTCGGAGATACGGAGCAAAGAGTGCAGAAAATAGAAATCGAATTTTTGAGCGAACGGAGTATCCGATTTGAATGATCTAAAAAACATTCAATTAGTAATGATTGGGAGAAGTGTTTATTAATTTTTGGCAAAGGCAGGCCCAGCCATTTCGAAGATACGGAGCTAAATATGTAAAAAATGGCAGTTTTTGAAAGAACTAAGCGTCCGATTTAAATGATTCAAAGAACTTTCTGCTTGTCTTAACAAAATAATTGATTTTGGGTTTTTTTTTTTTTTTTTTTTTTTTTTTTTTTTTTTTTTTTTTTTTTTTTTTAGTATTTTGTATATCGAAAATATTTCAGATTTTATTTTTAATTCTGACTATAGTTCTAATATACTTTAGAAATAATTTCAACTCTGCAATTCGGTTTATATAATTCTTATAAATATTAGACAATGTTACAATATTTATAATAATCTATTTGAAAACATTCAGTATTCCTCGAACATTTCGTTACGGTGCGGGAAGTTCCAGCAATTTGCCTCAAGGCACGATGCCATAATTGCCTCAAGACAGAATTCCACTTACAGCTAGTTTACACATTTTTTTGATTAAGTCGATTATTTACACATATCGGGAAGTTTATGTAACTTGCCTCAAGGCTAAATACCAAACCAACTAGTTATACATTATATTTATTTATTATTTTTTTCTAGGTTTCTGCAGTAAGGAAGCAATATCATTCTATGTCTAGTTCCATAACTGTTGCCACTCCAGGAAGAAATTTCCCAGATGCTACAGCTATTCAAGCTCGTCTTATCAAGCCTGCAGCTGGCAGTAAATCAGAAATTGGTGTAGCTAAAGTTACATGGGAGGCACCAGGAAAGGCAAAATGGTGGTATGCGGTTTATTATGGCAGAAACATGCAGGAGCTATTAGAAAGTAAGTAGTGAAAATTATGTTTTATCAATAATTTCAAGTTTTGTTGCTTTGTTTAATTATTTCAAATTAGTTGACTATGCAAGCACTATTTATTCTTGCTGCTTGATACCTTTATCAATTATTACATTACTTTTAATTTTCTAATTTCCATCTTTTTCCTTTCCAGAACCTCGTCTCATAACCAAGAACCTAACCGCCACCATCCGCGGATTAGAGCACTGCTCCTCATACTTTATAGCAGTTGGTGTTTTAGCTGGTGATGGTGCTTCAGGAACCTCATCTGGTGACTTGGATAGTTCTCTGGGATCTCTTGGTGCACGATGGGCTCCAGGACCTCTTAGTACAGCTGGTTCTGGCACTCTCGACACACCTTATGATCCAAAAGCTCCAGTCAGGGATTTGAAAGCTACTGTTGTTGAGACTAATGGAGTGGTGAATAGGAAAGGATTGCTCATCACTTGGAAGCCGAGTTGTGATGTTATCACTCAACCCGTGGGATATGTGGTAGGAAAAAGATTCTCTCTCTTACTTTAGATTAGGGAATGCAATACCGGTATACCGAATTACCGGTAAACTGCCCGATTTTTCGGCGGTATTTTTACCGGTATTTACCCCAAAAATACCGGTATTTTCGGTATTTTTACATAAGCGCTATTTGATAATAATACACTAAAGTTTAAATTTCTCAGAACAAATTTATCTTTAAATTCTATAATCGCATAAACAGTATGTCCTCAAGTGATCCTATAGGATGAACAAATGTCAAATATTATCTTAACTCGTCATTAAACTGAGTATTTATTGCTTTACTAAGGGCTTCATATCGTGTTACAATAAATAGAATTGGACTGATAGATAATGATGTTTGTTTAATCTTATGTGAAAATGTAACGGTTTTTTAAGTGATATTTCCGCCAAAATATTTTATATCATACAGATTACCTCTGCGTAATCTTTATTTTTTTCTAACTTTGTACGTAATAATTATGATAATTACTAAATATTTTTGCTTCTTATTACAAATATAAAATATTATTTTTCAAAAACGTTTCGAAGTTTGAAAATACTATAGAACCATCATATTATTTTAAATAACAATACTCAACAATTATAGTAACTTATTATTTATCTCAACAAAGTATCCGACGGAAATTATTTTTTAAAATATTGGAGTTTATGCTAATTTAATACATCGGATTATATGCAGATAATACACTTTATTATAATAATGTAATATGATCTTTTATGAGTTTTTGGTCTTTCTTACTCTAAGTTTGTTTTTGGTAAAAAGTACTCAATATACTTGATAGTGATAATGAATTAATTAAATTGGATATAATTTTGTTAAATTATTATTTATAAAAATAAACTTATTGTTTTATTTTATTGTTTTTATTGTTTAGTTGAATATAGTTGTAGTTGTATATACATTTTTTTATATTTGTACTAGTAACTTTCAATTTTGTTTACGTTTGTTTAAGATAATAAAAATACCGGTAATTTACCGGTATTCCGGTTTTAAAATGAAATTGCCGAAATACCGGTATTGAAATTTTCTATCGGTATTGCATTCCCTACTTTAGATACATTGAATTTTCATGACTTTAGTTTATGACACTGTTACAAAGATGTTGTTACCATGTATTATAAGTTTTTTAAATTATTAGTATTTTTGTTATCTGTTTTTGTTTACAGGCTGAAATAATAGAATTGACCACCAACGAAACATTCCGCTTCGAATTGGCAGCAGTTTCCAACAGAACGCTTTCCCATCTTGTGGAACCTGTATTATACGGCGCCAATTATCGGATTCTCGTCAGAACTTCTGGTGATGGATTGACATCGAAAGGTCCAGCCGCAGATTCTGAAATTACCGTACAAGGACCCCCATTACCGGTTCCACATCAACTGCAGATGTGGAGGCAGAGGAACAGCTCTTTCTTGGTGCAATGGAAAGATGTCAAGATGCCTGATGAAATTAGTTCCATTAAGTAAGGAAAAGAAGGTTTTTGTTTAAATTAATTTGACAAAATTGAATTAATACCTTCTTGGATTTTTTGCAGATTCAAATATGTGTTGTGGGTGTCGACAGGTAAACAGGTTGATACAAAGACTGGCAAGAATTATACTCTATCAGAATCAACGTTAATTCTTGATTCTTTGGAAGAAGGACAGATTTATTCAATGGCTGTGCAAATCCAAACTGAACAAGGAATGCTTTCTGAATTAAGTGAAGTGGAATCGATTCAAGTACCATTAGGTATGATAACCATTACTTTCTTTTTTGTTAAAGATTATAATGTTTTTTTTTTCAAACCTGACATAATATTTATAGTTTATACTCTTTTTATTTATATATAATAATTGCTCTCATCTTTGATACAAGAAATAGAGGTTGTTGCATTCTAACACTTGTATCTTTTTTCTTTAACAAAAAATCAGTATATTAAAAACAACTGATTCAAAAATGCTTTATTCATAACTTGTAACAGTTCTATTATTTTATTTAGATTTATATAATCCAACAATGAATGTTAAAACAAGTTACATCTAAAAAAAAAAAGAGTGCGCGTAAGATCCACACGCGATTGAAGTGAAACTTATTTTGCTAAATAAATACTTCATATAACAATTTTAAATAATGTTTATTAGTAATATGGTAACACTTGTGATGGACACATTTATTAGTGTCAACCATTATACACATTTATATAATGATAAATTATAAATTATATATTTATAATAGCATTAAAAATATGTTTAATATTTAAAAACAATGTCATTAAAGTCATACTTGAAATATGACATGATCGGTTTGTCATTGTAATTAGCATTTAGAAATGAACGTTCATTAGAGAAATGAAGTAATTGATAATTAATAAATTCTATAATATTTATTCACACAGTGGATTATGTTAAACAACGCCTAAACAAATATTGTTTTCGCAACTTCACTCATCATGCATTTGTGTTTGAAGAACTTTATGTGATTAAAATTAACATACATTCATTGACTGCTTGTATTGTTTTACTTTTTTGCTGGCGATATAATTTCATTCTTTGAACAGCTGTAATATCTGTCTTGCCTAAAAAATATTTCCATTTTAATAACTTCAAAGATTTATAGAAACTACGAATAATATAGGAATGATTTCTAATCAACAAACTTACGTTTAGTTGACGGCACAAATGTTTAATTTGTTTTATTATTTTCGAGAAACGGGTAAAATATTCTTCTGATTCAGGCATTAAATCAAGATTAGTACTATTTTAAAATTCTTATTTATCAATGCCGATTTCCTTGTTGATATCGGTACGCATACAACGTTGATGTCTAATCACAATCGACCCGTATAGAAACGATCGAGAGCGAATGACGAACAGTTCGGGCGTAACGGACTTCCGTTGCATTTGGTAATTTTCTTTTGTTGAAAATAAGGGATGAGAGTAAATGCCTTCTTTTTTAAGCTTAAATCTAGGAAAGGGCGAGTCCAGTTTGACTATTGCTATTCATTCTGTGAAATCCAAACCAACACATAATCAATTCTTAACAAACAAATAATTATCAAATTGTGTTAGTAATTCCTGGTATATTCTTAATAAATACAAATTTTTCATGATTTTTCTAGACTTCTGTCATTTGCATTTTAAATGCACCAAATGTATTACCATTCATGTTCTATATTAAGCAAAATATCTTTTACCAGGAACGTGGTCGTTGTTCTCTTACGACGAATCTAGTGGCAATGGCGGTTCCACATGGCGTGTGGCTGCACCAGTATTGATCCTGGTGACTTTAGCTGTATGCACCGCCGCCGCTGTTCTCGTTTGGAGGCATCGAAGGGCGCAGAATAGTTTCACCAGATTCGCAAATTCTCATTACGACACGAGGACTGGTGCTACTACTATTGGCGCAGGAGGAGTTTTAGGTAAGAAAATTTTCAGGGGTAACATTATTATAAAAAAAACATTTTTTTTAACTGTTAAATAATTAACATCTAGCAATATTGATAAATAATAACAAATTTAAATAAATAAGAGTGCAAAGAATAGAATTTACATGAAAATAATATCCGTATTATGATGAGTTAATATAAAATAAAAGCAAATATGAATAAAATAAAATTAATAAATAATATAAATAAAATTTCTGAATAATAAAATAACATTAGAAAACAATGAAATATAACATAAAAAACATAAAAGCATTTAATTAACTATTGATATGATACAATGCAAATGTGAAGACATTTGGTAGACAATGGTTTACTTTATATAATTCTTAACAATATTTTAATTATTTTCAACAGTTGTTAGCATTAATTATTTATAACTTCAGCAATAATACATTGTTTTACATATGTTTTTAAACATTTTGCAGATAAAGCTTTTACTTTTTTTAGAAAATTACCAAGTTTTTTTGTATTGTAAAGGGAATGTTTTACTGATAAATAGCGTTCAATTGTTAAAAGATTTTGAATACTTGGTTTCTGATTTGAATGTTGGTCTATAACTTTTAATAAAACTATTATTTCTTTTCATTATATAAATATTAAGTTTTATTTTTAGATGACGATGTTCCTGATATAAGGCCGTTCTCTAGACGACGAACCTTTGGTTTTAGCGTAGACCAAAATTTGTAAGCGCTGTGTAATAATAAATCATATTTAAGTATTGTTTTGAATTAATAAACCTATTTCGTGTTGGCTTCTAAAATCATTTTTAAAATATTCAATAATGAAATAAAAACTACGAAGTATTCGATTTTAATATCCATGATTTTAGAGCTCAGTTAATATTTGTTTTTAAATATCACACTTTAGGAATGAATCAATGAATTTAATATAATTATTTAATCAAAACCGTTGGTACTAGTTTTTTAAATAGTACCCCACATTTAAATATTAATTTTTAAGTGATAAGTGGTAAAGACAAGGTTCTGTGATTAAATTAGTAAGTAGTTGTAGTGAAATGTTATCAAGTCATACTTTGAGTTGTTAGAAGAGAATGTTGATTTTTGTTTTTTCTATTCATATGCCTGCCATACCATTTTAAAATGTATATATTTGTAAGTTTAACGGAATATAATGAATTGTATGTGCAATTTTCACCGAGGCCAAACAAACCAAAGATCTAGTTGCATTCAATTTGTTACAAATATAATGAAATGATTAGTTAATTTGCGAAAACTTTTCCTTCGTGTAAATATTGCTAAATTTGGAATGAAGTCTGTGGTCCAAGATACATTTTTCTATTCTAATTCATAGAATTCTAAATTTACAAATTCTTAATTTTTAAATGATTTCATTTATGTAGATTTATTTTGCTTTTTTAAATTTTTATTATTATTATTATTTTAAACTTTATTTATTATCGCACATTTAATTCTAAATCTATTTCTAATCTTACCTTTTTCTTAATTGCATTATTTCTTAGATAAAATAATGTGCTTTGTTATTTTCTGGAAATAGTCCATTAATTTAATTTGTTTTCTCGGTTTGATAAATATCAATCTAATATCAGTTTTTTTTAAATAGATCTTTGGACATGAATATTTACTAGTTTTTAACTTTTCAATTATCAAATGACTGTATTCATGGTTACTATTAGAAAATTAACTAAAGCATTCTGATCTTTTTGGATATGAAGTGTGAGTTATAATTATAGAATGAGGCAAAAAGAGTTTTTTCAGTATTTGTAAGTTGATTATTTTTATATTGCTATTGTATAAATTTTTAAATGAATGTCATTAAGAAAGATAATAGAAGTAATATAGGGATTAGACTGATTGCTTCAAATTTGTACGAGATATAAATATAATGAACTACTGTATAATTATACTAATTAAAATAATTTACATTACGTTTTGTTATAAATTTAGATAGGATGAAATTTTCAGAACGACTAACACCTAGATGATTATATTTTTAGTTATTGAAATTTAAAAGAATTTTAAAATCGCAATGGAAAAAGTAAGACTGTTCAAGCCCCACATATAATTACATTTTTAAATCACGAAGTAGAATGAATGTATTTATTAAATCAATTAGAATTAACTTTTTTCGTTGCAAGAAATGGTTGAAGTCAAATTGTTTAGATTTAAAATGTAAATGTTCTTACATAACAAGTAAAAATTTGATGGCTCATTTTGAAAAATTGCTGAATGTCT